AATTTCTTTTAAATTGCAATTGTACATAAAAAGTATTTGTAAGAGTGGGCATTCTTTAATGTAAAACTTAAGAAGTTCTTAATTTACGCAGAAGTAAAGTAGTTTGTTATAAGGAACAATTTATATTGTAATTCGTATCTGCGAATTTTTTATTCCCATACAAATGAATGTGACGTCTCTAATTTTATCAATTTCATTTGGAGATTTCACTCGTGAAAATGGTCCTTTATTAAACAAATTACAGAATATTTCACAGTCCGTTACTCAGGATGTTGTTTACAACCGAAATAATTATAAAAAAATGTATAATTGTGAAAAAGGAAAAATAGATATTTACAAAAGAATGATCAATATTCATACTTAAGTCATGAATACAAATAACTTAGAACAAAATTCTAATGTCTAACATATGATTATCTTAATCCAACACAATTTTTATTGTAATTTTCTCAAAAAACGAGTTTTCTTCGATAGCCAAATTCTAAGTAATAAATCTCAAACTCGACATTTTATTTATTATTAGTTTAACTTTTAATAACAAAATTTTTTACGCAACATTCTTTTTTCGATGGTAATACAAATTTTGAAGTATATAAGTAGCAAATTAATTAGAACAATTCTTTTAATGTATCTTCACATCAAATGATTTCCAAGAAAACTGAGTTGATATAATCAAAATATACAAATGTCGATTTGCACGTAACGTTTTCAAATAAATAATCACAATGAAACGTGCAAGTGAGTAAGCAAATACCATTTGAAAGTAAATGTCCCAATTTTATGTTTATCTTCAATGCGCAACCTCGCTGCTTTCTGCAGTAAAATCACATCGAAACTATCAGTTGTAAAAATGTTAACACTCGATTGTCGACTCTTACATTAACGTATGTCCAGATGCGGGATTTCTTTAATTTTGTTTCGAGTGCCGTGCTCCATTAACTTAATGAAATAGAAGTGTACTAAAAAATATGTAGGGCAAAGACAACAAAAACAATGGTACAAGGAAACGAGTTTCGCTTTTATTCTTTCTCTGAGCATTTCTTTCGCCTGTTACTTAATCGTTCATTTAGTGGAAAAACTCTATATTTACTGATAGTCCACATTGCCTCCAAAGATTAAATATTGATAAGATTGTATATATATTATTTCAGTGCAGTGTTCATTATTATTTCAGTGTGCTAATTTCTTAATCTGCTTTGTAGGTATGCTTCGGAAATTT